CTTTATATATATTTAAAGTCAGCATTAAACAACATCTAGAACACATTTAACTTCCATAAATTTAAATATATTAAGCAGAATTAATGGCTATTTTTTATGTTATGTTTGTATGTTTATTTTATATTTATATTTGCATTTCAAGCATTTGTCTTTGTCGGTGTCAGGCAGTATGCTGGGCACCTTTATCTGTTTTATATCATATATAACCTCTGGCTCCCTCTGCTGTCTGTTATGTGCAGTAGCACCCAGTCCCACCTCAGGAACACCAAGAATGACCAGATCCAACAGCATCCCCGCTCACGAGGCCAGTTTTGAGCTGTATCAGGCCTCTCCGCTGGGCAGCACCTTATCGCTCGCCGAGCGGCCCAAGAGCATGATCCGATCCGGCTCCTTCAGAGACGCCGGCGATGACGGTGAGACTCTGGATTGATATGCTACAGTCTACATGGGGAGTACAGATTAAATATCTGGACTGGTAAAGGTTGCAAGTTCGAATCCCACAAGGAACAAATATATTACCATTGTTGCCTTAAGCCTTGAATCAAAATGACTCTAATTTTATGCTAAAACAAAGCTATGTAATTTATATGTGATTCAACAAATGATAAAACAACACAGGATAGGTACAATAAATAATCAGATTTTGCAGAAATGTAGGATTTAGCTACTCAATTGCTTTTAAGCTCACACTTGTGTGTTTTTCTCTCTCTGTGTGCCTCTTTCCACCTGCAGTTCATGGCTCAGTGCTCTCACTGGTGTCTAATGCCTCCTCCAGCTACTCCTCAGTAAGTATCCCAGCACTTTTCTTCCCTTCAGAGCTCCACACACGTGTGTTACGGCGCTAGACTGTCACGAGTCTCGGCTGGAACTGCCTGTCTGCTCCTGCTGATTTATTGGAGCCTCACAGCAGGGAGACTAGAGAAGCTTTCTCTGCTTTCCTTACTGAAAATGGAGCTGTTACTTGAACTGCTGCACATGACTGGCTGCTGATGTGAGCTATAGCTTGGATGAAGGGCAGACCTGTTTTTGTAGGTCCACACCACAGTATAAACAAATCAAAAAAGTCATAGCATTACGATATTTAAAAAAAAAAAATGTGTCAAATATGTATTTCATTCACTGATTCACTCATACTTTTATCATACACAGCTGTTTAACCCACATGGCATATAAATAGTGAAACAATTTACCAATGCTTATTAAAAATGCATTTAATGTCATTACTATTTAGGGCTACACAATTAATTAAATTGGGTCTATTTTCAAATCAAGTCTAATGTAACAATATATATATATATATATTGTCAAATGATTTGGTTCCATAAAGCAAATTTAACATAGACCAACTTCAGTCACTGTGGCAACGTATGCTGGGAAACTTACCTGGTCTAAAGCAGGCTAACTGTCAGACTAAGCTGAGTTCCTCTAACACTGACCAATAAGTACACAATGATATTACCACTCTCTCACATACATTATTTGACCTTTTGTTTTTTACAGTTCCTAGCCATGCAGCCTTTCTCTCTGGTTTTATGACAGCTGTACCTTTTATAGTTTGCAGAACAGATAGCAGAACAATATAAAATTGCTCTTTAAAGCATTAAAATAACTAAATTAAAAGTTAAAATCACTGAATTAAAAATGAAAA